GAATGCCCATTTGAATGCCTTGCTGCAATTGTAGAGCTCACTTACATTTTTAAACTACAATTTTTGAAAGCTGTGATGAAAGTAGGAAATGACCACTTAGAATTCCTCAATTTAAGATGCACTGTAACAGCCCTAAGAAGTTTCCAAGCAGCACAGTTGTTCTACCTCTCTCAGCTTGGCTAAAGATACAGCAACCTCAGGCACCCATCCTTGGCTATCGGCGCTGGTGCCAACCTCACTTTTGGGTAGTAACATCCTACATGAACAATGGGGATTCAAATAATACTCAGTGAGGACATACAGTACAGTGAGCCTAGGTACTGCTTTCCTCCTAGACAATTCCTCACCCACAAATTTAACCCAGAATTTAACATGCTTACTCTACATAGGTAGGGTCACTTATAAAATATTCACATTTTCTGAAATGGACATTTGCCAATATGCATTATTAATGTCAATAATATTTGATAGACATGACGTGAGGCTAAGTTGTCTGCAGCAGTTTCTTGCTACACTGGAGGTGCCCGAAGTGTCTAAAGTCTTATGGCAAGCTGTTAAAAGGAGTTTAGAAACTAACAGCTACTCTTACTCCACTTGCAAACTGCATGCAGAACAGCAGCAAATTTAATATTTAGAGCATTCCAAGTGATCAAAGGCATTAAGGCATTTTGCTTGTAAACTTTAATTAAAAGAGATGTCCAAGTTCACAAGATTGTTTTGGTAATCAATTGTAAAGGTCTTAATCATCCACTACTGTCTTCATTTCATGTTCAAAGATGCATTACCAAGAATTTCAAGACTGTCCCTCTGTTAGAAGCCTAATCAGTCGGTTTTCCATTAAAATTAGGAATCCCTGTGTATTCAACACTAAAAGACAGACTCTCCAGGTCCCTAATAATTCTTTTTTAATTTTTTTAATTTTTTTTTGGCAGCTAGGCCTGGAAGTCCCGACAAACATCTTCACTGCTAATGTGCAGTGCCTGCACTTTTGCAACAAAAGAGAAGTCCTCTTACATCTGTTGTTTTTTTTCAGAAAGTGACAAATCCTGCAACTGTGAGATCCTAATAGCTCCATAGTGATCCTATTACTTGGTAACGAAGAGCTTATTTGATGAAAAGGCGATAGCTACATGCAGACCGGTCAATTTAGGTTCAGAACAGTGTAAAGACATGTTTAAGTTTCATACACTCATCTCATTAGTAAGAGAAGATTCGTTGTATTGCCAAGAGTCAAAACAGCCTCATATAATCAGATGCACGAACAGATGCATCAGGCTGTTGGCTGAACCATTCACCAAGGAACAAAACCCCTCTCTGCCTGTAACCACAGAGTGCCTCCTAGCCAAGCAATACGGGACCTGGCATCACAGCCGTTGCGTAAGATTCACCCATCTTTCAAGAAGATCAAGAGACTATTTTCAATGAGTATTTTTTCATTTTCATAAGTTGTCTTGGGTAACTCATCCGAACCTGAAAGGAAAACCCTTTCTCTCTCATAATTCAGTTGCACAGAAGCAAGGACTTCAAGGAACTGAAATAACAAGGTGTTCCACACTGGCAAACACCAACATAAGTACAATAGCTGCTTTGGATACACACTGAGCAGCAGCTTGCCACAAGCAGTTTCTTAATACATGTATTTCCTACAACTACTTATTGCTCAAGAATACAGCAAAATAACAACTGTCACCATACAAGTATGATGTTTAATTCAAACATGTTCTATGTGCAAGAAGGTCTCATATATATATATACACACACACCTTGTAACGCACAAGATAGACGTTAAGTCTGAACCAGTTCATACAGACAGGTTTCAAAAAGACCTTCAGCAATTTAATCATCAAACAAAAGAAAAGCTTTGTGCAACACCTTACTAGAAGCTTCAAGAAGGCTACAATTACAACCAAAAAAGACAAAACCATGACTTTTTATTTTTAAAAGAGCTCAGAAGAGCTGATATTATTGTTTCCCTGGATGATAATCAGTGACGGTGCAGAGAGCAAAAAAAAAAAGAAAAAAAAAAAGAACAGTACAAGTGTGGAGATCCAAGGTCTACTGCATGAGAGTTGCCTCCTTCTATCCAGACATGAATTTATGCCAGTCACCCACAAACTCAAATTGTCAGAATTCTGCAAGCAGAGTAAGACCCTTTCCTCTACCTGCTTGCAAAAAAACAAGGACAGAAAACACAAGCAAAGTGACTAACACCACATAGCCTCATCTACAGCCATCAGAGAGGAAAGATGTTTGTCACAAGCTGCAACTTCGTAACACTTTCAACTTAAATCACTAAGTAAATGTATCTCTCAAAAATAAATCGGTCATCCAGAAGCCACATCAATGTACAAACTCCAACTCAAGAATGTCATGCCGTGGACTGTTCCTTGATTCTCACATTTTGTTAAGCCTTAATTCTTGACAAGGGAGCTCTATTTCTCCTCTCTTTTCCCACTTCTCATCAAAGGAGTCCATTAGCTTCCACAAGGATAGCCATTCCCTGTGGTACAAGCCACTAAAAGGCTTATCGATAGCACAATTCAATTCTAATCATTTTCATCTTTCAGAAATACTTGCAAAGATCTCTTGAGAAAAAGTAGGGGCACGAGGGGAACGGGAATGACTTGGAGCAGACACCTTTCATGTAGCAAAGGACCACTGAATTTAATTTTATAAAAGAAAAATACATTAATTACTCAACTATGTTACTCTAGATAGGGCAACCTGTAAAGATACAGCTGAAAGGAACTTTTTGAAAAAGGTGGTATTTTATACGTCATTGAAAAAAGTTTTATTACAAACACTACAATGGACATATCTGTACAGGAAATAAATTTAGTTTTGCTTTCCTGTATTGCCCAATAGGTTCCGTTTCCCTTTGCTGCATGGGCAGCGATAATTCAAAGCCCCGCGGAGAGGCTGATGACAGATTACTGATTATTAGCATGGGGTTAGGGCAGCCATGAGGAGTTCCATTTTATATACAAAG